AATTGAAAATCGCTTTTATACTTTGATTTGTAATGAGCGGTTACGCGAAATGCGGAAACTAGTTCTAAAACTTACACCTTAAAGTCTCACATCAATATTCGCATACAACAATCTTATTTAACGCAAGAAACATCTCGCTACGTTCAAGTGGCGGTGGTGGGTACGCTAAAAATAAAATTTCTAGCTAGATAAATCAATCATAACTGTTCGTTGATAAAACTGTTTTCATCGCTCGCCGAATACCTGTACCAGTCACATGCGTGTGACGTCACACACCGTTACAGTCAATATTTAATTAAATTAAATCTACCAATGTAGGTTAAGGACTATTAGTATTTCCAGCACAAATTTCGACAGTGTCTTGTTTCATTGAATCAACACTTTTTATTCCATATTCAAGGTCTTGTAGTATAAATTTATGATATCGCATTGGACAAGCCTTGATAATCTATATCAAAAAGACTTGGAGACAGACTTACAAGGCGTACGATCTGGGCCCCAGAGAGTAAATTTAAAGAGAGAGAGAGACGGGTAATAATAATAATAATAATGACGCATACACTCAACATAGCCCCGCACGAAACCCTGTGTCGCGGGTGCCATGGACACACACATAGACAACCACAAATTACACCCAAACTGACGAGAGTAATAAATGTAGGCCGTACAAAATATTTCTCCCGGCCGGGGAATCGAATCTGGGACCTCTGCGTAGCAGTCCGGCATGGTAACCGTTCGGCCACGGCGTAAATTTAAAGAAATTAATATTCACACTTGCACCACTGCGCATTTTATGAAAACGTAATTTATGTTATGAAGAACAGTCATTGTTTTATAATTGTAACTTTTTTATATATAAAAAATTACCTCAAAAGTTCATAGAATTATCTATATATATATATATTTGCCAACTTTTATTGAAATCGGTTACCGGAAAGTGCGCGAAACCGGATTCATCCCCTAGTTTGCCACCCTTAGAGGTGGAATATTTTCTTCAAATTTAAATGAGACCGACACTGAGGTACTCTCTCCAACAAAAAAAGAACCAACAAAATCGGTTCACGAATGGAGTTATCGAGTAACATACATAACATACACACATGTGTACAAATGTTTATTTACAAAGAGCAACCCCTAGACTTTCATGCTCATTCTTCTCAGAGGATCTGCCTTACGAATGAGCAGTTGAATTGGATCAATATGAATGTTTCTTTAGTTGGATCAAAATGACTAGATTTAGGGGTAGTTCCAAATATTCGGCTTCAAAATGCTGGAATAATATTCCACCAATACGTGACGAGCCTTGCAAACACACATTCAAAGCACTTCACCGGGAACACCTACTCTCGTTACAAAAATCTGTCTAATTTGTTGAATTTTTTTTTTTTTCTATTTATATCAGGTAACAAAAATACCCATATATACATACCTTATAGACTAACATACATAACAATATAAAAACAAAATAAACCTATATTATATATACCTTAAAACTAACATACATACAATATAATAATAAAAAAACTAATCTACACGATTTCACTTATCGGCGACGTACGGCGCAATCTGGTGTCAGGTAACCGGCCGCGGAATCGCCGATATATGACACCCTTCGGCCAAAATTCCTCTTTCATGAAGGTCGAAAGATGTTCGGTCGGTATTCTCACCACAAACGAATTAAAGTTCACGTTGCGGCGAGACTCCAACCGCTCGACCCTCAGGGTGTAATTGGCTTTATGCCTGATATACTCCACTATCTCCTCAGACTTCTAACTAATATTATTAATATTAGTTTTCATATCCCTATGTACTCTTCGTAACTTTTATAAGTACACATTTTTGCTTTGATTTATTACACTGAAACATATTCACAATCATAATTCTCACTTACAGTTACACTTATATATTCAAATTCGCACATGCACTTACATATTGAATAGGGGAGTTTGGATCCACTATTCACACTTTATTACATTTATTATTTTCACGAACAATTTCCCTCCGTTTATTAGTCGTTTATTAGATATTTCATTGCAAATAACTTTTAGATTTAGCACCTCTCGTTGGTTCTAACTGAAAACCAGCGTCTTAGGGATTTTAGACATTGCTGAGTCAGAGTCATTTCATTGCTATCACAAATAATGTTTTATTTTTCCTGTTGTATTCAATCTATATTTGTGTCATACTAGTGAATAAAGTGTTTATCTATTTCAAGTATAATTTGCTTTGTTAGAAAATAAAGATTATTTTTTCTTATATTTTATCTTCGATTTTGACATATTGTCAAATAACCTATAGCCTTTGATTATATTGTAGCCATATGTGATTAGACGTCAAAAGTGCTTCTTTATGTCTTAAAAATAATACGAATTAATAAAACAAATCATCGATATGCAGAATTCCAAAATTTTTTTTATTTGATATTTTTAACATTGCGGTTGTTATATATATGGGACAGAATTGCCGTATTCTGTATATACCGGTCGTCCGTAGTCCGGATATTTTTATATCTATTCTCAATCCGGAGCAACTTGTTTGAAAGTCACTACCCCTTTCGTACCGGCTCCGAAACTACTTGGAATTTCCCCGGAAAAAAAAAGTTGTATCTACCAGAAATTGACCTGTAGATGACGAATCTGGTCAGATCAATTTTCCATTTTCCGGCCGCCATCTTGGAAAATTTGGGCCCGCATAATTGTATTAACTTCGACCCTTTAGAACAGGCGCACAATTGTGTAGGAACACGATTGTATTTAGATGGGCCTTTATAGGTATTTGAGTAAAATACAACAACAACAATTTTGTTATAATTTTTATTTATTTGGTGAATAAAATCTTAAGACATTTCTTACATGCAAAATCAACAAACAGTCTTAAAATGTACTTATTCTAATAGTACTTTTTATCACAATAAGCCTCACCGTGTCGTCTGGTGTAAAATATTTCTCAAAACATTGAGCGAGTGTTTCTATCGAATTTACGTTAGGGAAAGAATCCCCTGGCATCGGCGCTTCTTCTTCTTCCATCGATGCGTATTTCGAGATACGTCATCAACAGACTCGTCTTCCGATTTTGAGGATGAGCACCCCTCAGCATCACGACGTTCCTGAGAGTTTTTGTTTCAGGTGTCGAAACCGTCTTCCTATCTGCCCTCATTATTGAACCCTCATAACAAACTTCAATTTCTTAATTTAATAATTTACGCGTCATGCGGAAAAAACTGAAAAAAGCGTGAAAAAAGTAAGCACGAGTTGTACTTGGGCGCCGGTCGTAACAATTGTGTTGCAAAAAATCGTCAATATTGTTTTTGCAAGCTAGATAGTTATTAGCATGATGTTTTTGACTTAATCACATTAAATATTTAAAGTGTTATTGCGTTTAGGTGTTAAAAACAGTATTCCAAAGGAAAAAGCATAAATCAGATACTCACGATCCAAAAAGGTGGGTCCCCTAAAATCCGTCCAAATTGATATGTTGATGCTCGCAAGGCGACTAGTCGATGCACTAATTTTAAATGCAAGGTAAAAGATCGTCTAACGCGCAATCGAGTAACGAAGTCCCCGTTCAGATAGGTAGAAGTTTCGTTTGGAAAATTATTCTTATAAACCAATCAATCGTGTATGGCTAGGTTCGAAAGGAAATGACGTGAATCAGACACAAAGCATTGTGTGTGCATGACTAATATATAGTAGATTGTACAACAAGTGCGTAAAACGCATCATCCTACCCGAGACGAGTGGATACCTAAGTCAAGGGTAAAATGGGTTTTATGAACGAGTTATACACTCTGCTTTTCACTTCGATTGCGAGGAAATTAAACAGCAATATTACAAATAAACGATTATTTAATTAAAATCGAATGTAAAATTACAACAATTAGAGATATAAGACGGATTAAAAAATAAAATTAAAACTTTATTTGATAAAGTTCTAGTGTGCGTGGCTGTTGGCGCAGGCATCATTGCGTCGGTCTTAAACGACGATTTTATGCACTAAAGCATAAAATCCTATTTTATGCAGCCTACACCCAGCATAAATACGAACTTTAAGAGCATGAGAAGTGAAGAATACATTATTTAATAGGTCCACATTACGTACCCTTCGATAATAAAGCCACATGTGGTCATACGTCAAAAGCGTTTTTGGAACAGGAAAGTCATAAAAATAATACGAATGAAACATATCATCCATATGTAGAATTTTATAAATCCTATTTAGGCACAAAAAGTTGTGGACGAATTTCATTGGTGGAATTTTTAAAGTTATCTCCTGAAAAGTTGTCATTTTGCAGATGTGCCCTTATTACGGGATACAAATTGCTCGTTGTTTACGTTTAAATACAAAATAAACTCACTCCTCGTTTCACAAGAATTATCGTTAATCAGTTTTATACTACGACGATATGTTTACCACATTCATCGGTTACACCGATAAATTTGTGACGTACCTAGTTAAAACAAATTTACGTCGAGTAATCTAATGGTTATAAAATTATTCACTGGTTCCACTTACTGGAAACACGATATTAACTACGTCCTTATTTTTAACCGACTTGAAAAAAAGGCGGTTCTAATTTGGCTGTATTTTTTTGTGTGGTTCGTTACGCGATTACTAATTGTAAACCGATTTTGATGTTCTTTTTTGTTGGTAAGAGGGTACCTCAGTATTAGTATCATTTAAATTTAAAGAAAATATTCCATCTCTCAGGTTTATTGGATTTCAACCACTTTCCGTTAAACGTTTTCAATAAAACTAGGCAAATAGATGTAATTCCTCCATATTTTGAAGTTGATTTATTTTTCTGACGATCTCAGTTATAAACTTGAGTTAAATAATACAAATATTTTGTACTAAATTTTTAGAATAACATTTGACTGTCTACCGGTATCCGATGGCCTATTAACAACAATGCTAAAGCAAACACTACGAGACAAGACAAATAGAGCGTAAAGATAAAAAACGCAAGTATTAGTGAAAATTCATATTGAAATATAACTGACCTGGCACAGTGACATCTAAAAGATAAGCTCTGGCCGGACTTTGACAGGCATCTGCGTCAAAATCAAGAAACACTGTCCCCAATACAGTGAACAGGACACCCCAGGGATGCCGGTTACTTCCTGAACCTTCTAAGGCGTTACTTCTGGGCCCCAGAGCAGAAGGAACTTCAGTTCGGTTTGTAGGTCTTACATCACCGAGTGCGTAGCCTATTGCTTCTCCATTGGGCACTAAAATTAACCCTGTAAATTGATCAATCATTGAGATTAGATACATTATGCAAAGATGGATGTTCGTGGCCTTGAATATCACTCTTGGATACACTGCATTATATAAAACTATATTTGAAAATCTGGATAAGATTTAATCTTTTAAGATATACTGAATTGTAAGTTTTTATCACTTATTCACTCAAGATGTTAAACCTGGTTAAGTGACATGTGAATTATTCAAAGCATGCTTGTTGATAGTATACATACATACATAGTATATATTAGGTTTTTTTTTTACAAAGTCAAGACGAAATCAGGTTTTCGTTTAAACTTTAATTACTGAGGGTTATTATATTATTTCTGTGTACTTAAATGACAAAATTGAATCTCATTCAAAATTGTGTCATATTCGAAATAAATATTGAAAATGATAATTGTATACAATGTCTATATGCAAAGAGCAACCGCTAGTGTATTAACTTATTCATCCCAAGACAATTTGTCTTACATGTGAAAAGTAGAGTTGTATCAAAGTGACATTTGCAAATGTAATTTGCTTACCTTTGAAATGAATATATATTTGATTTCTTATTTTTTATATTCATAATTCATTTATTTTTTGTAAGCATGTGGTTGACATGGTGTACATTAAAAAACAATGCATTACCTAGCCATGAACCCTGATAGGGTACCGCAACATGATAAATATTCAAATTATTTTATCATTCTAATCATTGACTTACAATTATATGGACGTCGGGTCCGCGCTAAAAGTGTCCGAACTTACAGGGTGTTAAAATCGTATACAGAGCGTCATTCACGCTCTAGTCTTCGTTTGTTCGACTGACAGCGAAGCAAGCAAAATTAGACAGTACTGCGATGACATTACAATTTAAATTCAACGTTTTAGCTTTTTCATATTCCTCGACATGTCACTACGTTTAAATAGGTTGACTTGGGACATTTTTTTCGTGGTTTTTATATTAGACCCGTCGTCCATTTATTTGTAAGTCAATGATTCTAATCAATAAAATCTAATATAAAATTCAATAAACAAAATCAAACTAAAATTAAATATTGAAATGAATTGAAATTGACTTAATTCACTTTACATTATCATATTGATTATTATTTACATTTATGTATTCATATTTTCGGTTAATTTATTATTGTCATTTGTTTATTATTAAATGTATGAAACCATTTTATTTTAAAAACTTGTAAGGAATAGAAGCCTTTTAATAATAAAAATTCTTTTAATACATGTTTCAATTTTTCTATAGGTATTATTGCTTTCGGTCTTTATATGTTCTGGTATTTTATTATAAGTTTTTACCGCCATTGCAATGGGACCATTGTATTTATTATAACCAATATTTCATATATCAACTTACGGATGTTTCTCAACTTCAAGATACTGTAAAAAATATTAACCTACTTACCCAAGAACACGCCGATTGACATCAGCACAATAAAAGGTCTTCTTCTCCCAAACTTCAACCGACACCTGTCACTTAAAGAGCCCAGCAAGGGCGTCATAAAGAACCCGACGAGAGGTGACAGAGCCCACACCAGAGTCATCTGCTGGTGGGGTACTCCGATCTGAAGTAGAGTGGGCGAGACGAAAGCAGTCTCTGCTGCGTATGAGAACTCGATCCCCATCACTGCGGCTGATATACGCATTAGTTCTATGCGGCTTTTTCTCCTGAATAGATAAAAAGAATACAAATTCTTTAGAAAGCCGTGAGAAAAAATATAGTGATCAACTCAGTTGCTCCTTTAAAAGTGCAGTGAAAGAAAAAGTTGTTATTATACAGCTTTTGTGTATTTGAATGACAAAGTTCCATGGTAGTGAAATGGTAGTGACACATTTAATT